CTCCTCCTCCTCCTCCTCCTCCTCCTCCTCCTCCTTTTTTTCTTCTTCTTGTATTCATAAAGAGGGGGTGGGGTTTAATTTTTTGTTCGAAAGAATTATGCTGGAAACCGCATAGCACAAACAGGCATATGCATGCATCTTTTCTCATAAACGAAAAAAAGCAGTAACAACGTAAAGGCACAAGCCATTTTTCAATCGCTGCTCGTGCCAACCAATTAAGGTTACACGTGTAAAGAAAGAAATTAAACTGTACCCCCTGTCGTACTATATAAAGAGTGTATCATAGTTCCCAATGGGTGTTTTTTGTTTGTTTGTTAATTTCTGTAGTACTGTTGCATTGTCTTTTACTTGTGTTGTGTGTGTGTGGGGGGGGGGGGTTTCCTCCGTTCTCTATTTATGGTGTTATTGTTGGGATTTTAAAGATAACGTTTATATGTGCAGTTTGTTTGTTTGTTTGTATGGGGTTCTGGCTTTTTTTCTTCTTATTTTAGCTGTTGTTACGTCCACGTGTAATTGACAGCGTTGCATTCTTTGTTGGTCCCTCCAGGTGGCAACAGCGTGAAGGTTTGGGACGCGCTAGCGGGCGGAAAACTCTTGGCCACTCTGACCAACCACCACAAGACGGTCACCTCCCTTTGCTTCTGCAGCAACTACGAGCGGTTTATGTCGGCTTCGCTTGACAAGTAAGTTGTGTGTGTGTGTGTATGTTTGTCTGTCTCTCTCTCTGTCTGTCTGTCTGTCTGTCTGTCTCTCTCTCTCTCTCTCTCTCTCTCTCTCTTTCTTTCTCCCCTCTCTCTCTCTATCTCTCTCTCTCGCTCTCTCTCTCTCTATCTCTGTGTCTCTGTCTCCCCCTCTTTGTCTCTCTCATTCTCTCCCCGCCTGTCTCTATATATATGTATTTATGAATGGATGGATGAATGCATGTCTCTTATTTGTTCTTTCTCTTTGCTTAAATCATATATTTTTTAAAGTCTTGGCTTAGTTGGAGGACGGGGGGAGGGGAGGGGGCTGATCTTTTGTGCTTTTTACTTTCTTTTCCGATCGAAAGAACAAAGTAGATAAATACTGGAGATTTACTTAGCTGAGTAAGTGACGGGACAAAAGCACATCAGCTGGTGCAACGATGCGAAATAGTATACTCTGAAAAGTCATCTTTGATTTACATATTATCATGTACTTTGAGGAGCGCGCTGTATGGTTTGAGGTAAACGTTCACTAACTTTCAGCGAGTCTGTCAATTTGCCAATGCCACAACACGCAGTTTGACGTAATCAGTTACGCGCACGGCTATTGAGTCTTGAGTTTTGTCAGATTTCACGCTTGTCAAAGGTGTAAACTATTTCTTGAGGTTCTGAGTTTGTAGTTATTGTGCGACGTTTCTGTGGTTATTTTTAAGCGTCGGTCTCGTGTTTTTGCTCTGGATTTTCTCATTTGCGTTGTCTCGCTTTATTGTGGCATTAAGACTGGCGGCTGCCCCGGGGAACACCCCATGCTTTCTTTTCATGCCCGTAGCTGTCACTTACTTAAGCAGCCGGTGGAGTGTTGGGGTATG